ACATAAATTGTGATGCATCCCTCAAATAAAATTAGAGATTAAAACTTTATTTAGAGAAGATTAAAGGTGGAGACATAAGCTAATTTGGCATTTGTTTCTCATCTGAAACTTTTCCAATTTTTTATAAGTGTTTTTATAAATACCTATTCATATATTTTTCCACATTGTACAAATCACACTTTTAATTCAATAATGATTTAGGCAAACTCAGATAGCTTTGACTATTTGGGTCAAAAAAAAAAAAACCCACAGAACATAGTTATCATTGTTTAGTTATATGATAAACAAGAAGAAAGTTATATCTGAATTGGGGAGCAAGTGGGTAAATGTTATTCTAATTGTTTTTTTAACAGATAACTTTAAATATAATTTTAAAGGACCAATCAACATCACAGGTTCATATTAAAATAAGTCATCAAAAACACAAACACAAAAATCTTAATAGTTTTATTTTAAAATGATATGACACACTTGCTATTAATCTAGAAGGCATCCAATGCCCTAAGAAAAAGCCCATAACTTTAATAACTGCCTATTACAGTATTCAAAAAACATATAATCAACATAAAATTATTTTTCTTGTTTAGCAAGAAGTAAAATTAAAATCACAATTAGAATTACAAAAGAAAAACTCTGACTATACTAAAAGCAATAACCCATCTTTACTTTCTTGTATGACATATGCTCAGAACCTGATGGCAGTGTTAAGAGAAGTCAGATTATTCCTGAAACATAGGAGAGTCACTAAAACTTGAGCAAAGGATAATACTATCTGCTTCCCATATTTCCCTGAAGTAAAATAATAGTTCATGGTAAAATAATTCTAAATATGCTACACTCTTATGAGTCTGAAATTGAGACAATAAAAAAAAAATTTGTGGGATGCTGAACAACCAAACAGATTTATATAATTATGGTATCTCATTCTGAGGTTGATTCCAAATTCTTCATTCAAAACCTGTGAAAGACTTCTCTTGCCCTTAAAGTGAACATTAAGGCATGCCAAGTTTCCTATAAGAAAATTATTTTATTAATAGCTTTGGATATTACAGCTCCATAATTATAAAATATTCTCCTAATACACATATAGACTTGACTGTACATAAACTTGCACACGAACAAATGTAAACTACAGGTACACATTTAAGTGTAAGCCAAAGATTTTTATAAATCAATTTCATGTATTTAAAATAACGTCTTACTTTTTACAATGTCGGTGCACAAGTCAGGCAAATTAATTTCCTGAGGCTTATGCTCATAAATGTTGGAAAAAAGTATTATAGAATACTATGAACCATAAAATGATGTTGCTACAAAATCTGCTAATTCTTTCTTACAAACCCTTTTATAAAGGGAAAAGCCAGTGAGACTTCATTATAATTCTCATCAGAGTCATTCGTTATGCTCAATTCTGGGAAAGGTTAAATCCCACATAGAACTATGAGGATCTGTCTTATTCCTTTGTCACTGTGATGGTATTAAATCTTGCTGAATAGGTGAACCCTTGGTAAAGGTTGTGAATCTCTTTTGTCAGACCACATTTTTGTGGTAGCAGTAATTGCTCCAATGAAGTCTGACCTTCACATTGAAAAACCTTCTCCTTATAGATGGATAGAATAGTTTTCTTTAACTTTGGAGGATTAGTCCAGGTAAGATTTTGCATGTGTCTGTCACTGCATATGTAAAGGTGAAGGTTGACATGTTCAAATTATCTTGCTTAGAATTGTTGCCATACATAAAGAAGTAACAAAAAAATAAAGCCACTTGGGTTCATACTCTTAATTCTTGGTATCAACTAGCATGATGCTCATTCATTCATATAGCTTTACCTAGGAGACAAAGGGAAGGCAGAAATGAATACGGTGGGGTAGTCTCACTAAATTTGCACCTATTCTAACTTTGCACCTTGAAAGACATGTGCCAGCACTGGCTCAATTGGGCCCCTAATTCAAACAAGTACAAGTGAGATAGACTCAGACATTTTAACCAGACAGCCAAGCATGTGGTCTTGGTATCAAGGCAGATTCCTAACTAGTACAGAATCAAGTGGCACAGCTGTCATGTGGGTAAAAGTGCCCAGAGCCGCCAAGAAACATGGTTGGAAGCAGTCCCGTGCTCCTGTAAACTATACGTCAACTAGGAAGTAATGGGGCACCTGGAGAAAAGACATTCTTCTCATGAAGGGCCAGTACATCATATTACATGGCCAGCTGCAGTAGCTCCAAATAGCTGGAAGAACATACATCCTGGCAATGTTGTGTCTTCAGCTTCAGCTGAAGCAGTTTAAGATGTCCTAAAAAGGAACAGTTTAATTACTAAAGTCATTAAGAAGATTAAACTATCCATTAGCAGCACGTAAATCCCAGTAAAAATGGAGAAAGCAGCTTGCTTTCTGGTATTCACCCCTTTGGGTCACACTGCTGAACAAAAAGCTGCCTTCTCTCAAGATTAGCAAGGTGATTTCCCATACTTGGTAAATAAAGTGAAGACCTTCTACACTATGAGCCTCTGAAAGAAAGTTTTGCTTCTCCAGGGCCTACCCCTAAAAACTGACAACAACCAGCACCATGTCGAAGAGCTAGCTAGAGGAGCACAAATCTCCCTGAGGGGGCCAAGGCCTGCACAGCTATCATCAGTTCAATATCTGTAACATTTATGAACTGGTCTTGCCAAAGTACTTCCAAATAAACGTATTTAGAGTCAAAACATCTCTATCAAACTGGAAACACCAGTGTTTGAAGTTGAGAATTTTTTTTTTTTTGCCTGCATTACTATCTTCACTTTAAATTCAAGTGATCTTCATCTTGAATTCAGGCACTGACAGGATGGACTAAGGCTACACAACTGAAATCCTGGGGAAAATTAAGGCAATTTTCTGAATTATGTCCACACAGCACTAAAGGAGGCTTCCAGATGAGTTTCTGCAGGAATTCCTTTTGGTGGAGTAGTTGGCTCTTACATACTCAGAACCTTAAAAAAGATGTGTCCAAATAAATGAATAATGTTGAAATAAGCATTGATTTATTACATTTCAAGTTAAAAGTTGAAAGGAAGGAGATATATTTTGACTTGTTAAATCTTTTTTTCCTGAATATTTTCTTTTCCTAATTTATACATATTATATATATATTATATATAGAGAGATCACATCAGAGCTATATATGATTCAGTAGCACTACAAGATTAAATGCATCCAAATGTAAAGCTGAAAAGCTTTCACTTTTTTATCATCAGTTTTACAGAACTGAAAAATCTCCCTGACACTTGATTCCCAAATTTGTCTAAAAATTGGGTTGCACATTAATTCAGTTGAGTCTATGATTTGGCTAATTAATTCTGTTTCATCAATAAATAAAAACATACTCAGCTGATCCCACTTAGCTTCTATGAATAAACATGTTTATTTGATTGTTTTTAAAATACACAATTCAGGCCTATTCTCTCAGCCAAGGGGTAGATTATTCCCTCATTGCCTAAACGTCATCCAAATTGAATCCTCAAGCAGGCTGGAACCTGACAATTTATAAACTTTCAAAATGTCATATCTATATTACTGGTAAGCTGGTCTCAACATAAACCATGACATTAGAGTCAAAATACAACAAAATGTTTGCTAAAAAGCACAAAGAAGTAGCAAGAGAAGACAAAAGTCATGTTTCTATTGTCCAAAATCTTTCTCAATCAAAAAGTCTGTGCAACAGGGCAAGCTTCTTCTGATGTCAATATCATGTCTTGCTTTTACCTAATAATTCTTTCATACTCCCATCTTCTCTATTTTTACTATCATCTAGCCACCCTTTTTGTATTTCCCCTTAACTCTTAGTAACACAGTATACCTAACTCATCAAATAGATCTGACACCCACAGACCTCATTCACATGGCTATTCTGACTACACACTCTGCTAGCCAGTAAACTATGTGTTCCATACTCTGCAGTTAACAACAAAACCTCCAACATTAGAATTAGCCTTAGTACCTGGAAAAAGCATCACTTTCTGACTTCTCCCATCCCTGCCTCCCCACCCCAATTCCCAGCTCCAGATTTCTTTCAGAATGATTCGGCTGATCCCAGTAAAAGGAAGTTAAAACTACTTGCAGCAGGAGGCTGGAACCTCTCAAAGAATAGTTGCCAAATGCAACATGTTTTTGAGGCTGTTTTTCTGTACCCCCTTCCTGAACCATTATCATACAGAGACAGCATGTTAGGACAGTGGTTGTTACAAACTTGTGGCCACTTTTCCAATATCCTTCTAGAATAAGAGTTTAAACTTCATGGGGAGAGAAGACACAATTACTGAGGGCCCAGATATAAGACACTCAGACTAATGCCTGGACCATTGTTACAGGAGGTGAATTTCAGTGATGAGTGTCGTTCGCACTAACTCAGTGTGTTCGCTTTCCTTACTCTCCCTTTCTAGGTTCCTTTTTTGACCGGGTTTATGGTGTGCTGCCATTCTGGGGCTATAGTTTGTTGCTTAACTCAGAGCAAGTGACATTACTGACTTTGTGGCATCATCCCCAAGAGTATAGCTGCAAATGTGTTGGAGGTTTTCTCCAAACAAAATGTCACTTGGGAGCTTATCTGAGCCAGTCATGACTGAGACCTGCCTCAATACTAAGATGTGTAGGAATAGATTAAAAATGTCTACCATTGATTCTCTGGTGTGAGAACCAGGAAAGACCTCAAGAGTGCTGGTAATCAGTATGATGGCTAAACCACAAACAGAAAAGGAAATTTACATCAATAACTAATTTTACTTCATCTAGAAAATGGGCATGCAACACTGACTAATGTCTGGCACTACCACTCTCGGTTAAATTCAGATTGATCTTATAGCGACTGATATTATTTTCACTTATTAGAAAGTTTATTCTAATGACTTAGTTACTACTTCTGAGTACAGGAATAATTTTAAAGATAACGTGTTTTTACAGTTTTTTTTTTAATAACAAATATCTCCAGCTTCAAAATATTCAAAGTCAAAAACCTATATATTTAGTATTTAGTCAAATTATAGGAAGGAAAAATTTAGCAAGAAAATGGATAAGCACCTTTGAGAATTAAATTTAAACCTTAATATATCATTACTGCTTATGTTCTTTTTCACAAAATAGATAACTAATTAATTCTCCTGTGTTTAGGACACTTGGTAGTATCCAAAGAATAATATCCCATATCTTATAAAAGAAATCATTTGTACAGTAGGTCATTAGAAACATTTTGCTAAGTAGAAACTAACGGCTATTATGATTGATTAATTTCAGATGTTTAGAAGGATAAATGTAGCCAATTGGGGTTTCTCAATGCATCTTAGATGGACTTCTTCTAAATAAAAAATACATCGAGAACAAAAACACTCACTGGCTGTTGATTTGGGATATAAACTTTTCTTGCCAGGGAAATAAACTACACTGTTAACTTTAAGAAATGTGTTTGTTGTTTCATATAAAATGCCAAGGCTGACTCCAAGAAGGTCACAACCAGAATTAACTCTGTACAGCAAGAACATCTTCTTCTACTAAGGACAGTTCCAGGGTATTCTCATTAGCGCCGGTTTTCATCCTGAAGTTGAAAGAACCATAGAGTTTTGCAGACTCTTTGGAAGAGGCAAACCTGTTGCGACGATAGAGCTCCCCCTTCCACATAGACATCATTAGCAAACAGGACAAAACAACCCCCCCAAGGGTGAGGAGGCAGAGTCCTGCAATCACACAGCGGTCCAAGTGAGCCCCCAGCCTTGCACTTTCCTTCTCCAGGCGTTCCATCTCTCGGGCCGCCACTGTGTTGGGATCCACTGTCACTTCCCGTGGGACAATGTAAGAGATGATCACCAGTAAGATGCCAGTGACCAAGAACAAGATGGCACTGATGAAACCATAGTCTACTGACTTCCCGGAAGATGTGGCTTCTGAACTTGTATCGTCTTCATCTTCAGATATCAGGGAAATGGCAGCCTCATGGGACCATTCATTTGAATTTCTCCAACCGAGGTCTCCCAGGTGATTACTCCCTTTTGATGAAGGGGAGCTCCGGTTCCTCTGCTCCAAGTTGACATTCTCATCCACATATGTAAAAGAAGTTTCTAATTCCTGGCTACAGCAGTTGCAGACTTTCCGCTCCGCTGTAATTTGGTTGTTCCCTGAGTTGAGAGGTCCTGATGGGAAGGAGTCTGGCTGAATAACACTGTCTTGCAGAGAGGGGGTGGGGGAAGCTGGAGCAGGGCTAAGTTTAGACCCTTCTAGCTCAGCTGCTCTTGGTATGGATGCACAGTGTCTCTGGCTGCAGAGAGCAGCTTTGGTGGCTGCTGCATCTGCCTGGTCACCAGGAGGCCCTGGTGAACTCCAGTGGACAGCATCGCACAGAACTGTTTGGCTGCCCTTCTTTGCAAGGTAGTGGAGCTCCATTGGAGCTAGTCAAATATCCCCAGTAGTTTCCAGAAATTCTGCCAACAGCAATACAGTACAGATAAGAACCCAAGAGCAGCTAAGGCTGCACTGCCAAAAGAGCTACTCCTGAGGCCCCCATCTCCTCTGCAGCCACAGTTGTAAACACCTCAGCCAGTTCCTCCTGAAAGGGTAAAAGGAGAGGATACCTAATGGCAGGAAAGTGTAAAGGGGACAAGTCCTCTGACTTATCACAGGTATCAACACTAGGAAACTTAGGTCAGGGTAGAGAAGGCGCACGGAGGAAGTGGGAGTGTCTCTGAAGAAAGCACTGCCGTCACCAAGCCAAATTTATCCAAGGACACTCACACATTTCTGTGACAGGATCCCTCAAATGAGAAGGCAGGTTTCCTGTATAGAGACACAAATGAGAAAGGCAGGGACCTTTTTTAGCAGACCTGCTGATTTTCTGGAGAACCTGGGGCAGCAGAGACTATCTAACAACTCAGTCAGATCACAAGTGTTTACACTCTTGATTCTAATACAGCGTCACCGGGGAATGAATATAGGGCCCCATCAGTTGGGCTCCACTGGAACTGGGGCTCAGCATTTAGACAGAATAGCTCTGAAGTGGATGAAAAATGGCTGATTTATCAGTCACTTCTCTATGCTTGTACCTCATACAACTGCTAGTGACAGAGCTCTCTATTCTCAAGATGCTAGGCACTTTCAATGTGCTTCCACGCTCAGCCTATCCCCTCAGTGCTACATGAGGGAAGCATGTTCTCTACTGGGAAGTATGTAGACAACAAAGCTCACTGTGTGATTCCTGTAAAATCCCAGCCCACTCCTCCATACAATCACAGCTGCCAGCCCCAGGTCTGTTACTCCAGCTCAGTGGATCTAAGTTCCTCTCCCTCTGCATGCTTTGCTAGCAAAAGTGCACAGGAAATTGACCACCCAGAAGTTTTTAACCATAAGTCTACAAGTAACGGAAAATTAAAAAAAAAAAAAAAGCAAGTTATAAACCTAAAGAGTTACAGTTTTGTTGAGGAAAAAAGGTGAAAAGCTATTTTCAAGATTATCTATGGAACTTTGTACCCAAGACATTCCTCTCCCCCGCCCCCCACGACCCATCCACCCCCCCCACCCCGCCCCCAGCAAGGGACATTTCTGGGACAGAACTCTGAGTTAAGCAGAAAACCAATGTCTATTTTCCCTCTGCCTCTGCTATCCATCCCAAGGAACACAAATCTACTTTCCACTATCACCAAGTACAGGGTTCCAAGCAAGAGCCCCATTTATTTTGTTTCCAAGTCTAGGGCAATGACTGATTTAACTCATGGCTTGGGGCTTTTTATGCTTCAAAATTCACAGCTCTGGCAGCTAGAAAAGCTCACCTGAATTCTACCTGGCTACTCAGAACACACACACACACACAGCACAACCGATCCAGAGGTTCCCTTTAGCAAGTGGACAGGACCCGTCAATGAACGAAAAGATGGTAACGGATTTCATAAATTATTGAAACGAGAAACCTCGCAGTTCCAGTAGACGTGAGGCGCTCTGATTAACCTTTGGCACAATTAACCCGTCCCATTGGACTACTTCAGATAAAAAATCGGCAGTCTCTTATGCGACTTCCAATTTAAAACAAAGGGGGGAAAGAAATCACCCCTTAATTCCCTTCGTCTGCTTCCCTCCTTAAAGAAGAGTGGTCCCCGCTCGTTCTCTCGGAGATACAAGAGCTGCAGTTTATTTCCTATGCAGCTCGATAATCCGGGACTTCCATCCTCACTGGAGAATGGATAATCCCAGGGGATCGGCTAAAGCCTCTTTCCTTGCGCCCCCTGCCTCTCTTCTCTCCGGTCTGTTGAAGAGCGCCGTTAGGGAAACTGCACCTCACAGCGATGGGACACACTTTCCCTCCTCCGTCCGCGGTCCACACCGAGCATTCACATTTGCATTGGCAGCAACTGACCCCCGGGAGGCTACCCCGGCGGCGGCGACCTCCGCGATCCGACCTGCGCGCCCTGCGCCGGGGGCGCGCGCCGCCCGCCAGCACCAGGCAGCGGTGCACCCAGCAGCACCACGGGGTCGATCAATACGTTCCTGGCGAACTCAGAGCCCGCCGGGCACCCGGCGTGGGGTTGTGTCCGCAGAGTACCTCGAAGCCAGGCGAGCACAGTGGGTAGGGAGTGGGGACACGCGCCCCTATTGCGCCTGGCTCCGGGGCTCTCTCCCGCTCCCCAACGCCTCCTCCTCGTCCCGCTCTCCGCCACTGACCTCCTGCCGCGGCTGCCCGGGGCGGTCTGCAGCCGAGAGCTCGTCCCTGCGCCGCTGCTCGCGAAAGTCGCCGGATCGCCAGCCGTGGCACTTGTAGCCTCCGCGCGCAGCTCGGCTGGCTGGGTGGGCAGCGCCCGTCCCGCCGGTGGGGCGGGGCGGGGAGGGGCGGGGCAGGGCGCTCCCTCTGGCTGAGCATACCGGGAGATGTAGTCCAGGGGCGGTCTCCCCGCCTCCCCCGTAGCTCTGCTGTCTCCTGCCCAGTGGGCATTGCCCTTTCTAAAGACAGGTTCCCGCCGTACCACCGTGCTCCTGCCTGTCACTTCACAAGAAAGCGCTGGCTCTTAAAGTCAGGGTGGGGCCCTCAGTCTCATATGTGGACACGGCTGGGGCGAAGAGGTGTATATTTAGTTCCACCTTTGCTCCAGGCGATATGTATGTCTTATTTAATAGGAAAAAAAAAAAAAAAAAAAAAACCAACTTCAAAGCAGATTTTATTCATCCTCAGTTTACAGATGAGAAACCAAGCTGAGAGAAATTAAGCGCTTTATCCAAGATGACAAAAACTGTAAATGGTAGCTAATAAATTGCTTCTAGGAATCAGATTCTAAAGTCATTGCCTTGATCACAAAATCATGGAGAAGAGGACCATCCAGAGTAAGGGATTGTCCTGCATCCTATGACTAGCTGAATGTGTGGTATCTGTTGAATTATGAATAATGATCTAAAATAACAATAGTTAACCTAAGTGGCACTAATGCAGGATTCTCTTTTGATCAGTAACTCATTTAATGGTTGCAATTTTTAGAGTTCTGTACAAAACCTCACTTTTACAGAAGAGGAAACTGAGTTACAAAGAACTTGAGTAATTTTCCCAGAATCATTAGCAGAGGTTGGGCTGGGACCCTCCAAAATTCTAAGCATTATGCTATCTGTAGTGAATGGGAAAGTAAGTAACCAGAAGCAAGAAAAGAAAGTGAGGGGGAAAGGAAATGTAAAGATTGAAGCTACTGGGTTATGAGTCTCAGGAAAGGTCAAAATAGTTTCTTTGGGATACTATCCTCTTTCCAATGTTAGTGGACTGTAGCAGCCAACAGCCAAAGAGAATGTGTAGTTTGTGAATCATCTCCAGGTTTTCAGCATCTCCCTTGGAATGATTCCAGAGTTATTAATAGTTTTTATCTCTCTCTCTCTCTCTCTCTCTCTCTCTATATATATATATATATATATATATATATATATATATATATATGGGGAGCAAAAGTAGGGTTATAATATTTATAACATTTTGCTGCTACTGTAAACTGCTCATAATGCTTATGAGTTGTTCACATAAATATGGTAGCTTGCTTTCAAGTGGTAGAGCAGTCCCCTAGAAAGATGACATCTTTGGTTTTCCTCTATATTAATAGAGTCCAGTCTCACAGTATTGGGGGCACAGTGCGTGCTGGATAAATTCCACCCATCTGTGTTTTATGGACTCCACCTCCACCTCCATGCCAAAGAGATCCCAGGCACCAAGGATTACAGCTACCATCATACCGTGAATATACCATGACACTTGACACCTTGAATGAGGGATTGCTGGGAATTAAGGATGGAGTTAAGCAGCCATGCTTGGTATAAAACTGAACACTTTGGGGCCTGCAGGGGACTTGGTTTTCCAGCCTTTATCATGCATGCAGGGGTCAGCTCAGACAGCATTACTAGTAGGATGCATTGATAAATTAATCCCTCTTTTTATCTCTTTCTCTGAGCTTCCCTTCTCTCATTTCCCTTGTAAATAAACCTTCTGTTAAATTTTCCTGGATGCCTGGCCTGAGTCTTGTCCTGAGTTTTTAAGCATGTGGGTGAGGACTCATATCCAAGCCATCCGTTTCCCCTTGGTGTATGTAGCTCTGTAACAATTGTTCCAAGGATTTCACAATCCATTCCATTTAAAATTTTTTTTTTCCCTGTGACTTATAGCCAGTTTGGCCATTGTTAATAAACAAGACATGTATTATGCTTTCTTCTCCCTTGCTTGTTACATCATTTTCCATTGAGATTATCCTTCCTTTATTTGGCTTTTCTGTCCACTCTTCAAGGAATAATTTATCAAGCCAAACATGCAGGGGCTCATTTTTTCTTAGTCCTATATATTTAAAAGAAAACAGCACGACACTGTACATTAACTGGAAGAGAGCAAATAAGAAGTTGAAGAAATTTGAATTCACATTCAACAAGGAGATGTGGAAGGAACTTGGGATATTTAGTCAGAGGAGGCATCTTAGAGTAAATAAGAGCTACTTTTAAGAACATGAAATTTGTAAAGTAGAAGAGAAATTTATATTGTGGTTAACAAAGGAAAAAGAAAAACTAATGACAAAATAGTGTTTATCGTTCATGTGTTATCACATTAATTACTAATATGTTTTCACCTTTAATTCTTATGCTAACTCTACAAAGGAGCCAGTGTTATTGTACCCTTTGAACAATGTAGAAGTTGAGGTCTGAAAGGTATGAGAATTAATAACTAACTTGGATTTGTCTGATTCCAAAATGTGGATCTGCTCACCATCATGTTATAATGAGTAATGCCTCTCAATCTTTTTTTCAGTAGAATATACAAAAGAAGAGATAATACCACACTGTGATAAGCACTGGTTCCCATGGCCATCGTCCTGGGGCTGTGGTTACCACCAAGCTACTTCATTTGCATGACAGCTAGGAGAGTCAAATAAGTAAGTATCAATAAACCAGCTCATCTGAAATATATTGGAGCTCCTGGAAATTAACAGACACTGGGACTGCAAAGTTTTGGAAAGCTCTAACAGATTTAATGAGGCTGATTTGGAGCTGAGTATAAGAAAGTACATTCTCTCTAAGAACTTGTCTCATAAAAATGATTTTTGTGATACTGGGGAAAATAAAAAATGAAGAGCCATTTATTAGTGATGTGGTAGAGGGGTTCTTCTAGTTCAAATGGAAGACCTCTATGCTGAAATGATTCTAAGCTACATTTATGCTGAAATTATTCTATTTTACATCTCTTTCGAGTATTTTTTTTCTTTTATGTCAGCCCCACCAAGATTCTGCTTCCAGTAAACTTTGCTAAGACTTGTCAACTCCCTGATATTTTTTATGTTTATATATCTATTAATATTATCCATTGCCTTATGACATTTTTTGTATATCTACTACTGCATATTATTTAATTTCCCATGTACATGCCTAAACCTCTAATGGTTATTGTAAGAGCCTTAAGGTCAGTATCTACATATTGAATGTCTTGTTACCTCCTGTAGACAATGCAGTATTTCTATTGAATACAGAGAGGAAATATGGCAAGACTGAACTGAGACTGGCGATGATTATCCACATTATTCTCTCACTTCCTATTTCTATATATAGTACACTTGACTATCTACATATTCTTGAGCATTAAAAAAATCAACTCTGTGCCAACATACTACAAAATCTTCAAAATTCTGCAGAAGAATAAATGTGGACTAAGAAAAGCTCTGCAAAAAAACGTACCACTTATAGGAATAATCTCACCTCTCTCTCCTACAAGCCTTTGTCAAACTTTGCTCACCTCTCTCTCCTGGAAGACTTTGTCAAACTTTGCTCAAAATCTGACCCAACAATCTTTTTTAGGAGCCTTTCTTATTTAATGTTTCTAACTTTTTATTATTCTTTTAATCTGCATTCTAGTGGCAAAAGACCACTTCATTTTATATTGCTATTTTATATTTATAGAAGTATTTCATATATATTTTATACTGCTTTCTATTTGATCTCTCTGTGCATATAAAACTTAAGCTCCTTGAGGACCAATATATTTTTCCTATAAGAATAAGCTACACATGGACTTGAAATAGCAAATACACATTGTGGTTCCTCAATATATTGATATATTAATGAAACAACTGATACTAGTAAAATGATGATCTTCAAATCTAGGTAATGATTTTGACCTCGAGTAATTTTTAATATGTCTCATATTTTCCTATTTACTTATCTTCTGTGAGTATGGCAGAAGCAGTCATGATTATACTAAGTTCACTAATGGAAAAATGGATTCTAAGAAATTTTTCCTAGGAACTGACGATAGTAGAGGGACTTTTAATAACCAGTTTCCTGTAGTAATGACTAAGCATACTTACCCTTTATCTCTCTTCAGTAGTAGTAATAATGCTCACTAATTATAACTAAATATCTTTAATAGGTTTAAAGTTATCATGAGTGGCAAAATTGTAGGGAGGTAAGAAAGACTGTCAGCCTGTGTGTAGATTGGATATTCAGTCATTTAGTGGGAATGATACAAGCAATTTGACTTACTTTATTCCCCAAGACGGCACTTCTAAATAATGGAAGAAAACAATTGAGCGACCAGAATTTAGAGTAATCAGGATCATAGTATTTAACAAAATTCTAGGAACAAAAAGGTCATATTCAATTTATTTCCTTGAAATAAGATTGCTTACAGTGCTCAGACAGGCATGCTATTTGCAGAGAATAGCAGTGGGGGAAATGGCAGCCAAATTGAGAACTAAAGGAAAAGTATCTCCTAAATGTTTTACTTAACTTTTGTCTTGAGTGAATTCAGATATCAGGAAAAGTCAGATATCCCAATTTTTATTCAAAAATTCAATTTTTTTAGATTTTATATCTGTATATGTCAAATAAAATATAACTATAGAAAACATTTGTTGGCAGAAATAATAGACAAGGTAATTTAGATCCACCTACTGCTGAAGATAGCTAGGAAATGTGGAATACACACACAAGTCATATGGAATGTACATATATGTATATATATATAGAGAGAGAGACTCATTTGCTTGAAGACATGCAAATTTAACAAGATAGAGAAAAATTACTGTGCTAGAGTTCAGAGAAGGAAAGAAACTCAGAGGGGCAGGTCAATAGGTCAGTAGATCAGAATTTCCTTTTACTTGGGCACATTAAATGATTTCAGAGGGAAGAATTGAAAAGTTAAGACTTTAAGAAGAGAGAGTTGGAGCCCTGAGTCCAAGAGAAGAAGTTGTAATGAATCTACTTGAATTTTGAATCTCCTTGAATTT